CCTGCCTCGCGCCTACGAGTACCCCCCGCGCCTTCCCCGCGCGCCTTCAAGTACCCCCCGCGCCCCGCACTCTCCTCGGAGGACCTGAGTTAGAACCGCTACAGTATTACTACCAAGAGACTACTTCCGGTAACAAAACGTGGAGATGTCCTACCGATTTTACCAATGTTATGTGCGTTCGGATCTTTAATTGGTGGAGCGGCGAGCGTAGCGAGAGCTGTGAGCGATCGCAAGGTCGGTCGACGTCAGTCGGAGAGTCGTGAATATTATGAATGTAACTATACTTCGTATAGAATGCAACATTACCGCGGGTGCGTACAATAACGATAAACCAGCGCATACGATACATGAATTCGCAGTGAACGTTCCACCTGGATATAAATTATCCGATACTCCCACACATGTCATTTATCTCCCAGTCGTCGCGAGAAACGTTACCGATATAATGATACGTATAGTGGATCAAAACGGACAATTGATAAACCTTCGTGGAGAAGAGATATCGATTCGACTTCATATACGACGCAGGCGATAAAAAAGATGCTCGTTCTAAACGAGTCGCACGATTGTAAGAATACGTCCATCATACCGCAGATGTCGCAATTATCATCGCTCACCGAACGATACGTTGGAAGAAAACGGAGAGGAACGGAGGATAGATTGAACGCTGCGAACGTCACATTTCTACGGTCTCTGGAATTCGTTGTGAACAATGTGAGTTATAGTGAACATCGCGATATTCTAAACATAGGGGGTGAGCCTATCTTCGACGATCGTATCGTTAAGATCGAGACTCACACTTACAACCCATACGCTAACACCACATTTGGATACAGCGATGAAATACGAATACCTATACAGCATCAGGATTTGTACACGTTACCGTATGAGAGTTTTCTCTACGTCGAGGGAAAATTTTCAACGACAAAACGAGATGGAAACACATCCGAGGAACAACCTCCAAAATTGTCGAATAATTGCGTCGCGTTCATGTTCGATGAGATTCGGTACGAGTTAGACGGTGTGGAAATCGATAGATCTAGAAACGTTGGTATTACCAGTACGATAAAAAATTTCATATCGTTAACCACTGGCAAGAGTATAACGTTAGAAAATGCAGGATGGGACGGCACGATGCAGTTATTTCGCGCACCGCTTTCCGAGAATTTCAACTTTTGAGTACCACTCAACACTCTCCTAGGATTTTGCGAGGATTACAAACGCATAGTGATAAAAAACGCGCGACACGAACTTATCCTGATACGTGCGCGTAACGATAACAATTGTGTTGTGGCGCACGAATCGATGGAACCTAAAATCACGCTATTAAAGATACAATGGAGAATGCCACATGTAGTGCTGAACGATGTCAATAAATTATCGCTTTTGCGAACGTTGGAAGGTGGACGATATCTCAGCGTGTGTTTCCGGTCGTGGGACCTGTACAAATTTTCTCTGCTGCAAAGTACAACGAAGCATTCGTGGGCTGTTAAAACAACGTCGCAATTGGAAAAACTACGATACGTAATTTTTGCACTTCAAACCGGAAAAAGAAACGTAACGTCGAAAAATAGTTCACAATTCGATATGTAATTATTACATATGTAATCTCACTAATGTGAAACTTTTTTAAAATTCTGATTTTTATCCTTACGACGATATGAATTTAGATTTCGAACACAAAAAGTACGCTATACTGTACGATATGTATGTAAAATTTCAAAAGACTACGGTTACAACAATCGCGATCCTATGTTATCTATCGGAGAATTTCTTGTACACGGTCCATTCGCGCGCGCGCGCGTAGTGATCGATTATTCTCGTCAAAACGAATCGATAAAGAGCGCCACTGTAGATATTCGTATAGAATTCGAATGTATGGAAAATATTCCACTGAACACCACAGCTTATTGTCTTATTATTCACGACAGGGTGATAGAGTATAATCCATTGACTAATGTTATTCGCAAAATTGTATAATATTTTTAAAAGCTCTTTATCGAGTTTCACACGGTATCATATTGTATTGTAAAACACATATTACCTTAAATATATTATATCTTACAAAAAAAATGATGATATCATATCCCTTTCCTCTTACAATTAGATAGATAAGAGTCTCGTCTGCAAAATATTAAGGTATGAAACATGATTCATGTCGTATATATAGAAAAATCACAAAACGTGATTCATTACTCTTGACAGAGCGTTCGGGTACGCATCGTTTTTACCACGTGTCGTACACTTGTGTTACATTGCGATATCTCTCACGTTCATCATCATCATCGTTTTCGTTACGATTACTACGACGACGACAACGAGAACGGTAACGTCGACGGCAGCAACGAATCGTGAAAGCATAGACACTGAAGTAATTCTGTATCTACAAAAGTAAAGCTGGCAACAATACACAATTATCATTCGAAGAGGGAGAACTTAAACAGGCTATTTCGTTGTTTCAAGAATATTATCAAATACAGGGTGATGGTACATTGAATAACTATACGTTGTATCAAATGCGTAAATCACGAGGTGGTCTCCCTGACATCTACGAGCATAATATAAGTAGACGTAAATGGGCGAAAACACATCTCACGTGGAATTTCCAGCTAGCGGATCCACACACTTTGCAAACTACCGAATTCGCGTTCTCACTATGGGCTGCTAATTCATCTTTATCATTCGAACGTAAAACGGTAAATCGATATCTTGATATCTTATCGTAGTGGCACACACATGTACGCTGATCGTAGACGCAACGAAGAAATGTGCACCTCTTCGTTAGATGGACCTGGTGGAGTACTCGCTCACGCGTTCTATCCTCCTACCATTGACAATTACAGCACTGAAATACACATAGATAGTGCAGAACCGTGGTATATATATCTAACTGACAAATCCGCTAGTAGTAACAAGGACTATCTGCTTAACACATTAATACATGAAATTGGACACGCATTAGGATTAACGCACAGTTCGCGCGAAGAATCCATAATGTTCGCAGTTGTCACTGCTAGGAATAATAATAGAATCGCTAAACTCAACATAGAGGTCAGTTTAGCCATTCAACAACTTTATGGAATTAAAAATCCAAAACCAACAACAACCACACAACCACCAACTATCACAACAAATACACCCACATACGTAGATCTATGTACTTTACAATATGTGGATACGGTGTTAGTATTACATCATCGAATATTCGTCACGTATCAACGCTACGTATGGTCGATAGATATAAATAATGCAAAATACGATGGACCACACGTACTAAACAGTTACATGGATTTCCTTCCGAATAATTTCTCCTTATCAGCCGCATATCAAAGGCCTTCGGGTGAACTAGTACTGTTTGTACACGATGTAGTTTACATGGTTGAGTATCCCAGTTTCAAATTGAAAGAAGGTTGGCCAAAACGTCTCTCAAGTCTAGGATTTCCCCCGAACATTTTCATCAATACCGTAGTAAATACTAACAGAGGACAAACCTATGTGATCTTCAATAATAACGATGTGGCGCAAATAGACGAATGCAATATGGGTGTTCGTTCATATCACTCGTTACAAGTGGTATTCCCGGGGATACCGTCAGCTTCCACCTTAGCCTTCCGATATATGGATGGTAATCTGTACTTTGCTAAAAAACAACAATTTTACTAATTTAACGAGTTCACGAGAACTGTAACAAAGCTGGTAAATTTAATATAAACATACTCAACGTCGAATGTTCGAGAGATGGATTATTGCAACAAATGCAGGATATCTTGAGTCGACTACTTCGATCGAGTACTACATAAAACACAACGAGAAATAAGAAGGAGGAGGGGAGGAAAGATGGAAGGACATATATAATCAATACTATAATAGTTTTAAACGATTAGTATACAAGGAACAGTCATTCCGACAACATCCGCGTGTTCGATCGTGAGGATAATACTGTAAGAATACACACCAATGCTCAACAACGTGGATATCAAAAAGTATCTCATGGAACAGGACGATCGTAATGAAGGAGGTGTGAAGAGAACATTCGACGATGAAAATCCCAATAAAGACAACATATCACATAAGTAGGTATTTTTTTCTTTGCGTCTTTTTTTCTATCTACTCATTTTTTTCTTTAATTACAGACATCAAATCACATATCATCCTATCATACGCGTTCTCGAGAGAAGATATCCGTTAACCGTAACTGACTACAAATACTTGAACATTGGTATCAATAGGAAGTTTTTGCAATAACGTGAATTCAGATACGGTGAACGCTAAAGCCATGTTATCTTTTTCTTAATTAGTTGTTAAGAAGAAGATAACCTGACCTTAACGTTCACCGTATCTGGATAAACGGTATTGCAAAAACTCCCTATTGTCAAACTCCCTTCTTATGTAACTATCATTTTGGGAGAGAGCTTCTCGAACAAAAACACGTCATTTTGTCCCTTTTGCAGTATGATGAAAATAATAGAGGAATACGCGCGACGCCGCGGCCGTCTCCAATGTACGTTGGAAATTTAACGTTACGCTTCGGACGAATCAATAATCTACCAATACTACGTCTAAAAACAAGTACAGTTCGTTTATCCATGTCGAAAAGCACTGTACTTAATATATTTAATCTTGAATACTGTGTGAATCGTCTCATTTCCTCCTTAACCGCAATGATCGATAACGTTGACAAAAAATTTTCACGACTTCTCGCTATCGCATTCACTGTCACGAAATCTACGAACATGCTGAAAATGATGTATGATGACGAATCCTTCGACCGCAACAACATCCTCGATTGTGAGTTGATCGCTCTGATTTTCGGAGAGCATTAATTATGTACACCATTCGATAATAAACACTATTCTATTAATGATAAAGCACTTTTATTTCTTTTTTATACCTTACCTTTATATACTACATATATACTATATATTTTATATATACTACATATAGTTTAAAGGAAAAGGAAATGGTCTATAATCTTTAGAGGAAAAAATGAAAAAATTGCTGCTTGATCGTATAATATATATTGTCACTAACGCTGTCACATACAGTTATTCGGTACAACTCGCAGAGATTTAATCACGCGATAACGTAATAAATATTGTGCGAAATATACCTGAAGAGCGTCTACTCGAAATCATCGATGATGTTTTCCAGAACATTGAAGACATTGACAATATTGGAAACATCAATGATGACGAGTATCTGTCAGATGACTCAGGATATTGTTCGAATTAAGACGTATGTGTGTGTGTGATACGACCGAACGGGTGTCAAACGAACTGCACGGGACGTTGGTGTAAGTGAGATCGGTGCGAATGAGAACGTTTAACCACCACAGCTCTCTGTAAGAAGATATATTCGTAAGTATATACATGTTTTTCAAATTTATATTTAATATTTTCAACTTACATTCCCACATGTCCTCTGCAACAGTATATTCATATGGTCGGAGACCAAATAACTCACTAAGGAATAGATCCCCGTCGTCCCAAATATCCATGTACTCTGATCGAAATTCTCGTTCGACCCGCCTGTCGGCGCGTATCATCTGTCTAGAGCAAATATTCATATATCCCTTAATATGAATATTTACACGGTGTGTAGTCTGAAACAGAGCATAAAAGTAAATTAAATACATATTGTTATTTATACTTTATACTTTATACATTGTGACGTGACATTTTGTCCGTCACTGTGCGGACTCGTCAACGGCAGACTCGCGCCTCCTACCGGCTCGAAGGGCGAGAGCGCGCGTGCAAACGCACCTGCAAACGTGCGTTAGAACTCGCGCCACTTATTTTACTCGGCAGATTTTCTTCTTTTATATTAGCCTTTCTTTTGCGTAATGACCAAGCGTATCAGGAAGCGTAGGCGCGCCACGGATCACGCTCGGCAGCTGCGGTGAAATGTTGTATCATCGTGCCGTCTCGCCCGCCACCCTTGGAAGGAAGACAGAAGAAGGACCGGATCGTAAGGACGGCCGAAGAAGCTAAGGGAGAAGGACTCACATCCGGGAGCCCGGATTAGCAGAGCACCGGAGGAAGCCAGAATTCCCGGCCACCCTTGAGGAGCCGGACGGACGCCCGTCGGGAGCCTAGGGTCCCGACGGGGAGGGGGAAGGAAATCCATCCCGATCTCCTCCGCCAGGCCAGGAGGTGCAGGGACCGTGGGCAGAGGCGCCACCCTTGACAGGCGCGCTCGTAGTAGCCAGGATTTAAGGCCGCGCGGGCCTGCACGGCACGCGCGGATACCGTGACACGCGGAAGCCAATCAGCGTGACTACCTCCCGCCGCAGGAGGGGGAGGAGCGCTAAGCAGCCTGCGAGAATCTGCCGGGAGCTCCCGGGCCTCACTCTTTCTGTGGACGAGTGAGCCGACAGTGTAAAGGAGGTGCGAGATCGCTGTCGCCGAGGCCGAGCACGAGGACACAGAGAATTATCGAGGGATTGGCGAAAGGAGGCCGAGAGGACGAAGGAGGTGACGAGGGTGAGACGAGCATCGTCGCTTGTGAAGCTGCCGACCGGGGTACGTCGCCGGGTGAATCGCACGTAAGCCAGCTCGCACCGTAACGATAGAATCGGCGCAATGGCTGCCGTGTAGAGCCGCGGGACCGCGAGCCACGTGCCATCCTCCCGAGCTTGGAAATCCTTAGCTGTCGCGTTTCGAGAGTCAGAGTAAGGGGAATAATATTCGCTGCCGACTGGAAGTAAATTAGAGTCGTTTGGAGAGAATCGAGGGCCGAGGCGCGCTCGTTCCTCTCGCCACAGGGGAGTCACTTCCGGTTTCCGAGTAGAGTAGAGTCGCGTAGAAACGCGTAGAGTAATCACGTTGTCGAGTCTCGTCGTGTCGCGTAACGACGCTTATAGTAGTTGCGTTACCGTTTAGTATCGCGTCGCGTAGACACGCTTGCTATAATTGTGTCGCCGAGCATTGGGCTGTCGCATCGGAACGCGGATTGTCGCGTTGCCGAGTTAACTTCCGGTTGCGGTGTTACCGAGTAGAGTCCGTTTCCGGGATTCACGTTGTCGAGTAGAGTCGTGTCGCAGGGGCGTTCGCTATAATCGCGTTGTACCATCGCCGTGGCGTCGGCCGGCGTTCCGGAAGGCTGGTAGTACAACGGGTACGGGTTCTTGCTGGTTGTCGAGGGGCGGGCGTTTCACACCGTCGGAAGATACCGCGGGGAAGGTCGGGGCTCGTGCTGTAGCGTATGACCGGCGTCCGGCGCTAGGAGTAAGTTAGCGGCTCTTTGTGCGAGTACCGAGAGTATCGAGTAGAGCGGAGGAGCGAAGCTCCGGAAAGTACTTGTAATTACGACACTAATGTAATTTATCATATTTACTTTATCACATTCTTTCAAATATAATTGTTCTTATTATTACGCTCTCGCGTAGTTTATTCCTGTGGCCTATCTCTCTCGCCCTCCGTCAAATTTCCCACACCTCTTTCGACCTACCCCCTGCCGTCGCGGATCGGTCACGGACAAAAGTGAGGAGATTTCGGAAAGAGTGGCACGCTCTCTCGTGCCTGGCGCCCAACTCAGTAATAAGAATTACTATTTTGGCCGAAAAACCGACTGGCTATCGCAAAATTCAGTTACCGAGGGAGAGAAGATACTTTTGCGTACTTTTGAGTACTAAGAACACGCGACGAAGTTGTGCCATTGCTCGCGAGTACGGTTACAATATATTATAAGTTTTACTATACTTACAAACGGGATCTTAAGGATTTTTAGCTCATTCTTCAGTTGTAACTCACAAATATGTTCATTGTCAACCGTAATATACTGAAAAAAATAAAATACATTCTATTGACAATATTGATAAACAATATTTAAGGGGATGCTGGAGTGGCCAAATTGTCAGTAATTTGCAGGTCAATTTACATCTCCGAATTTACTTAACGAAATCAAA